GGTTAAACCTATCCAGGGTCTTGATACTATTTCATAGGGTCTCTTCTCTTGGAATGGGTAGGGCTTTCTTCTTGGCTTCTGTTAGTAATATTGTAGGATAGCCTTTCTCCCTGAATCTCTGTTGCATCTCCTTCATTTGTTCCTCCCAGTCTTCCATTTTTGAACAATTTCGTTGAATCCTCCTAAATTGATTGTGCGGTATATTCTTGAGCCAAGTATGTTTGTGGTGACTATTAAAAGGAATAAAACTGTTACAATCAACATTTTTCTGAAAAGTTTTGGTGTGCAGCCTTCCTTCTTCAATGTAGATGTTAAGATCTAAAAATTCAATCTGTTGTTGGGAATGATTAAAAGTAAACTTAAGATGGTACAGATTGTTATTGAGGTAGATTTTAAATTGTTCTAGGGATTCCAAGTCCCCTTTCCAGATGAAAAAACAGTCATTTATGTACCTCTGCCATAGGGACAGGTTCGTGCCAAATGGGCAATGGTCCCATATATACTCTTCTTCACTCTTAACTTCACTAGACGAGACTGGTCTAATATTAACAGTTTAAGGACAGACCGTTCAATTGTGCCCTAGTGATTATGGATTGGGCATATTACATTAAAGAAATAGAGACCCAGCTGAGGGACGATACAAGTTATCTGCTCATTTCACAAGATCCAACACATACATTGAAAAAGACATTGGAGACACTTAATAAGTGGGCCTTAGCAAAAGGGATTATTTCAGAAGGTGAATATAAGTATATGAATATTAAACATGCTTGGATACCCGTGTTCTATACTCTTCCTAAAATCCATAAAAAATCCATTATTCCCCCCAGGTAGGCCCATTGTAAGTGGTACCGGTTCTATTTTACAACGCCCAGCACAAGTCCTGGATAAATTTCTCATTAGATATGTGCCCCCACAAAAGTCTTACATTAAGGACACAACAACCTTTTTGAAGTTATCAGAGAGTATACATATAGCAGCAGGTGAATTTTGGTTAGTGACTATGGACGTTCAGGCACTATATACCTCGATAGATCACCAGAAAGGACTAGACGCTGTGGACTGGACACTTGATAGGGACCCTAACCTTGCACACCAGAGGGACACTAGAAAATATATAATTGATCTTTTTAGATTTATTCACACAGAGAATTATTTTCTCTTTGGGGATAAATATTATAAACAAATTAAAGGTACAACAATGGGCTCTAATGTCGCCCCAACATACGCTAATATCTACATGAACCAGTTGGAAGAAACATGTATCTATAATCATCCCCTCTACGCCAAATGTTTGGTGTGGAGGCGGTATATCGATGATGTGTTTGTATGTTGGGGTGGCAATAGAGCCCAATTACAAGAGTTTTTTAATTAATTGAATGAACAAGATTCTAATATCAAATTTACTATGTATTATGACAAGGTAACAGTTCCATTCTTGGATGTCCAGGTACAAAGAGTAGATGATCATTTACATAGCGATCTTTACACTAAACCGACTGATTGGAACAATCTACTCCGAGAGTTATCATCCTACCCATTTAAAGAACGGGTTGCCATATAGTCAACTATTGAGAGTCAGGAGGATTATTTCCCAAGAAGAAAAAGTTGTGTCAGGGATAGATTTTATGTCTCAGAAATTTATGGAGAGGGGTTATCCCACACAAATTATTCAGACACAAAGGGATAAGGTTCAAGGCTTAACTCGTCAGGAAGCCCTGTATGGCTCCCCAAGAGATAATACAATGGATAGAATAGCATTTATATCCCCATACACTCCACTTAACAAACAGATACGTAGAATTATACTTATAGAACTCTTTGCAGGAGATACTCAATTGCCTTTGGAATTTCAGAACCCGCCGCTTTTTTCATATCAAAGGGCATCCAACTTGAAAGATTTATTAGTTAAATCGGATATTGGCAGTTCTAAGAGGCAGATTTCGTTTTTTTCAGAACCTTAGAAGGGCACTTTTCCTTGTCTAGGTTGCTCACACTGTAGTAGTGTGATAAAAGAGGAATATTTTGTCCATCCTCGATCCGGCAAGTAATTCTCTGTGAATGGGTTTTATACCTGCTATTCTGATTTTGTGGTGTATATCCTAAAATGTCTGTGTGGGTATGTTTAGGTGGGGGAGACCATCCGTCCCGTTAAAGAGCGAATAGGGGAGGACAAGAGGAGTATCAGGACAGCTTTACAGCGAGGAACTAGTGAAGCGCCGGTGGCCAGACACTTTGACTTGTAGTCTTCTTTAATGTGCGGCTGTCTGGCAATTTTCCAAGTGCCCATAAGCTTTTCTGGAGCTTTATGCTCCTTATTTACAATTTACTGCTTGCTCTTGTTCATTTTGATGAGTGTTTCGTTTTTTCCTGCTAGTATTATAAGCTTGTGCTCTATTTGCATTACTATACAGACAGTTTCCTGTTTACTGCTCTGTTTCCTAGCAACGGAATGTAATGATGTCACACACAATGGGCGTATCTGCTGACATCATCACACACAGACCAACTGAACCAGGAAGTAACGAGAGACTATGAACATGCTGGAAACATGGAGATTGTCAGTTTCAGCTGCTGTTAAATTGCATTATTGCTGAGGGTGGCACTCTTTTGCATGTGAGCATTTCATAAGGCCGAATGTTATATCGGCGAAACGCGTCTTGGACACACCACTGACACTTGAGTATACAGATTTTACTTGTTTTTAAAAGAAGTTGTAATAAATGTTTATTTCTGCTACCAAGTCGTCTAGTGATATATTTATGTTGCTATCAAGAAGGGAAGTGTCACTCTATAATTGACACTGTGCTTGTATACTTGGAGCCCAGTTAAAGGCTCCTGACAAGGTGAGAAGCAAATTGTTATTTTGTTCACCTGATTACCTACTGTATTAAGGATATCTGCACTAGGGTTAGCTCTGTTTCCCTATTTTTCCTTTTTTTTGTCTCCATTCTGAAGTCTCCTGTTGGATATGGCGATTTAAAGGACCCTATTACCAATATTTTTATTACCTCCTGAAAGTTGCAGGAGTAAGTGAGTGTTTTCATTTTTATCTTTAAGCGCTCCACCTTTGCACTGTTGTCTGCATGTATTTGCACTAACGTGTGTTTTTCTATACGCTTCACAAAAGGGCTTATGCTGGCTTTTCAACGAAGGCCAATGCAAGTGGGGCGCATCATGTCGCTTCAAGCACGAGTGCTCGGGTTGTGGAGGGGCCCATGGACTGCAGCGCTGTTTCAAGAAGGGTAAGTCGGGGGGAGCCTCGGCCCCTTCCACAAGCGGGGGAGGTGGGGGGGCTTCCCCTGCCCCGGGGTTTAACCCCGGTGAAATTAGGTGCGATGGAACCTTGGCTAAGCCGCTACGGTAACAGGGCGGATGCCGAGTTACTTCGGGCTGGGTTTGGGCGGGGGTTCTTCATCCCCTTTCGGGACAGGGGTGGTACCCGGGACTTGCGCAACCTTAAATCGGTGGCGGAATTCCCAGGGGTGGTACGGGACAAGCTTGCTAAGGAAGTACTGCTGGGCAGGATAGCGGGGCCATTTCGGGCACCCCTGATGGAGGGTCTTCGGGTTTCGCCACTCAGGGTGGTCCCCAAAAAGGAGCCGGGGAAGTTTAGGCTCATTCACCACCTTTCCTACCCCAAGGGAACGTCAGTGAACGACGACATCGACAAAGACTTGTGCTCAGTCTCCTATGCATCTTTCGACCAGGCAGTCGAGCTGGTGAGACGGGCGGGGCGTGGGGTGCTGATGGCCAAGGTTGACATCGAGGCTGCTTTTCGGCTGCTCCCGGTACACCCGGCGTGTCACCATTTGCTGGGGTGTTACTTTGAGGGGCAATACTTTGGGGACCTATGTCTCCCAATGGGTTGTTCCATTTCATGCTCCTACTTTGAGAAATTCAGTTTGTTTCTCGAATGGGTAGTCCGGGTTGAGGCAGGGTGCAAAGCGGTCGTACACTACCTGGACGACTTCCTCTGCGTGGGGCCAGCGGACTCAGCCCCGAATGCTCGCACTTGTTGCGGACCATGGAATGGGTGGCAGGCCACTTTGGGGTGCCGCTGGCGGCAGATAAGACTGAGGGCCCAACCGAATGTCTTAGCTTCCTGGGATTGGAAATAGATTCGGTGCAGGGGGAGTGTCGGCTTCCACTGGCTAAGTTGGAAGGGCTGAGGGGCGTAGTGGCCAGGGTGGCGCGGGCGCGAAAGATGACGCTGCGTCAGTTGCAGTCGCTAATTGGGATACTCAACTTTGCCTGCAGGGTCATACCAATGGGCAGGGTGTTCAGCCGCAGCCTGGCGGCGGCTACGGCGGGTGTGCGTTCCCCACACCACTTCATACGAGTGTCGTCGCACATGCGGGCTGATTTGGAGATATGGGACACCTTTCTTCGGGATTTTAACGGGACGGTATTCTTCCGGCAGGGGGGCGTATCGACAGCCGAACTGGAGCTGTTCACCGATGCGTCAGGTAGCGTGGGTTTCGGGGCATACTTCAGAGGGAGGTGGTGCGCGGAAGGTGGCCGGAGGGGTGGGGGCACAGCCCCCCTATGCGTAACCTGGCCTTCTTGGAATTGTTCCCGTTGGTGATCGCGTTAGCCCTGTGGGGTGAGGGGCTCCGGGTCCGCAAGGTGGTCTTTTTCTCTGACAATATGGCAGTGGTGCACGCCGTCAACAACCAGTCGGCAGCATCCAAACTGGTGGTGAGGCTCCTCCGGCGCTTCATCTTGTTGTAAATGTCTCTTAATATAGTATTTCGCGCGCGCCATGTGCCAGGGTATTTAAACGAAGTGGCTGATGCTCTCTCTCGTTTTCAGTGGTCCCAATTTCGGACGGTGCAAGAGGTGGGCCAGGCGTGCCCGGACGAGATGTGGCAACTGGGAGCGTCCTGCTTGGCGGACTTGTGAAGGCTTCGCTGGCACCGGCCACTTGGGCCGCCTACAGTAAGGTCTGGAGTACATGGGAACATTCCTGGGATGGGACGGACCTGGGGTCGTCGGGCGAATCGCCCATGGATGCTTTCCGATGGTTCACCTTTCAACTCCTGACGGGGGGCGCGTCCCCGGCGGTGGTTGACAGGACCATGGCGGCGATGGCCTTCTGGTTCAAGCTGCTCGGGAAAGAGGATCTTACCAAGGCTTTTGTCATTAGGCAAGTGCTTAAGGGGTACAGAAAGGGTCGTAGGACACAGGATAGTAGGCCCCCCATGTCGGTACGGGTGTTGGGCGACCTAATACGGGCGCTGCCCGACATCTGTTTTGACGGTTTCGAAGTGGCGTTGTTTCGGGCGGCATTTCTTTTGGCTTTCTTCGGGGCTTTCCGCATAGGAGAACTGGTGAGTGCCACGCGGGCGGCGCCGGGGGGGTCTCCAGGTGTCGGGAGTTCGCGCGCTGGAAGGGAGGCTGTTGGTGCACCTGGCCAGGTCGAAAACGGACGTTAAGGGTGTGGGCCGCGACCTATCTTTGGGCGCCCTGCCAGGTTTGGCATTGTGCCCGATGGCCACGGTGACGCATTATTTGACTCTGAGGCCGATAGTTGGGGGGCCTTATTGCTGCACGCAGACGGCTCCTCACTCTCGTTTTCAGTTCACTAAGGTCTTCCGCTTGGACCTGGGCAGGTTGGGGCTGTGGGCTACTAGCTTCGGGACACACTCCTTCTGCATCGGGGCGGCCACGGAGGCAACACCCCTGGGGCTAGGGGATGATCTGGTAAAACGGATTGGTAGGTGGGAATCCGCGCGGTTCAGATCCTATGTTCGTTTGGGCTTATTGGATTTATAAAGCGGGCCGGGGGGACTACGGTGGGGGGACCGGGTATTGACACTTTTGTCTCCTTCTTCCCCAGGCCGAGTCGCATGGATCGTGGGCCATTCCTTTGTCTTCTGGGCCGCAAGGAGGGCTGCAGCTCGAGCTCGGGGCCAGCAGCTGGGCTTTCCAAAGGACCAGTTGACTGTGAGATGGTTCGGGTATAGGGGAATTGTTGGGGAGACGTATGCAGGGCAATATTCGGAATGATAGCGGGTGGGGGGAGGCTGGACCTACTGGTCCTTAATGCGGGTGGCAATGATATGGGCCTCATACCGCAGCGAAGGTTGGTAAAATGGATAAAGCAGGACCTCAATAAACTGATGGATCAGCTCCCCAGGGTTATGATAGTGTGGTCAGAGATGGTGCCACGTCGGCGTTGGCGACATGCAAGGGACCCGGTGGCCATTGACAGGTGCAGGGGAAAGGTTAACAGCTTGATGGCGAGCTTCGTGCAGATATTGGGAGGCGCTGTGGTAAGGCACGGGGAGTTAGAAGGCGGGTTGCCGGGTTACTACCATGCGGATGGTGTGCATCTCTCCAACGTGGGTTGGGACCTACTGAACCTAGGTTGGCAAGATGGGATGCAGAAGGCATTGTTTCTTCGGGGTGGCAGAGCTCAGACAGCTTAAGGGGTCAAGGTCTGAGCTTGTGGCAGGATAGGGAGCCTAAGAAGAGGAAAGAGGCTCCCCAGGAAGAACGTGATGAACAGGAAACATTGTGATCATTGGTGGTTGGTAGGTTTCGAGTCCTGGAGGTGGCTCAGAACCTGGTGGGGTAGTGGTACCCGGGTATACCCCTGCCATGGTTAATTATGTTTGGCACTTTAAGTTATTTATGTTAGAGTAAAGTCGAAATGTGATATATATATATATATATATATATATATATTTGTGTTATTTATGTGGGGTCATTGCCTTTTATATTAAAAGAAGGATACGGATGTGAGGGCAGAGCATGGGGGGCAATGACCCATATTACATGTTAAGTTATTATGGTTATATTATATTATAATTATATGGGGGGTGTTTCGTCCTAGATTCCGACTGCCCATATGGCGACTATACACCGGTCATGTAGCCCCATGTAGCCAAAGCACAGCTTAGCGGAAAAGGGCCTTGACAGGTGTTAGGAGGCGGGCTTAGGAGGAAGCGGCCAGGACTGGTGGTTTGTGGGTAAGGGGTTTGGCTATTTAAATAGGTAGCCATTTTGTAAGTATCACTTTTAATCTCCTACCTGGTTAAGTTTGTCCCGCCCACCCTCCCTAGGTCTGTATTGGACTGTGGGGTTATCCCGTTTTGTCACAGCGGCGGGATAGGGAGCCTAAGAAGAGGAAAGAGGCTCCCCAGGAAGAACGTGATGGACAGGAAACATTGTGGTCATTGGTGGTTGGTAGGTTTCGAGTACTGGAGGTGGTTCAGAACCTGGTGGGGTAGGGGTATCCGGGTATACCCCGTCATGGTTAATTATGTTTGGCACTTTAAGTTATGTTAGAGTAAAGTCGAAATGTGTGTGTATATGTATGTGTATATGTATGTATATATATATATATATATATATATATGTGTGTGTGTGTGTTATTTATGTGGGGTCATTGCCTTTTATATTCAAAGAAGGATATGGATGTGAGGGCAGAGCATAGGGGGCAATGACCCATATTACATGTTAAGTTATTATGGTTATATTATTTTATTATAATTATTCTAATTGTTATTATCTGAGATTGTTTAATAAAGCTGTGGACGATTTAACCGATATTCCTTAGTGTCAGAGTGTTATTGGGAGTAGGTATATGGGGGGTGTTTCATCCTAGATTCCGACTGCCCATATGGCGACTATACACCGGTCAAGAATATCAGAGTTACCAAATGAGATATACTAGAGAGCTTTTGATGCACTGACAGTAGATTTTGCTGCCACGAAAATGATGAAATCTTTGCAATTATTGCAAAGGAAAAATACAAAAACAGCTAAAAAATTTGCTTTCACAGACACACTTTTAACTAGGCATACCTCAGCAGGACTGGCTCCTGTTAACTATGTGTCTAGTGAAGAGGATAGATGGAGATATGAGGTTAATAATGGAAATGGTCAATTTAGAGGGCGGTCTATGGTTAGAATACAAAATTAACAAAATTACCAGGCTACTAGAAACTATCCGGCCCCACCCCAAGATATTTATTATAGAGTTAATCAGAGTAATCCTATGATATGCTATAATTGTAACCAAGAAGGTCATTGTGACAGACCTCTCTGTCTTTTGATTGCTACTATTTAACCTTGATTTGTCTGTTTGTTCGGTATTTGCCAGTTGTTCGTATGCGTCTGCTTCCATTCGCCTAAAGTAAAATAAACTACCAAATGGCAGGCCACCTAGCAGGGAAGTGTGCTGCTTGTTAACCTCTCTGCTCTCATTAACATTGTGGTTAACCGCAGACACTTCCAACTCCCGAACGGTCGTCTGGGTGGTCGTCATTCGTATGAACAAAAACATGGCGGCGGCCATCTTGGACAATTGAACGCCCAGCGGTGTTCGACGACAAACTCATGGAACTAATATCGGACACTATTTCCTGCTAACACTGCTGAAGTTGCGGACCCTTCCTCATTCTGTTCCAGGTTCATATGAACGCCGTGCCATTAGGTAAATTGACTATACACAAACAGAACTGCCCCAGATAGCCATCCCATGGAGCCCATTTGTTCCGTCGAAAGCACCCTGTACCAGACTTTGTACGCAGTGTGTGTGTGTTGTGTTAGTGTATGCAGTGTGTGTGTTGTATTGGTGTATGCAGTGTGTGTGTGTTGTGTTAGTGTATGCAGTGTGTGTGTTGTGTTAGTGTATGCAGTGTGTGTGTGTTGTGTTAGTGTATGCAGTGTGTGTGTTGTATTGGTGTATGCAGTGTGTGTGTTGTGTTAGTGTATGCAGTGTGTGTGT